CGAGACGAGCGGGGCACCGCTCCCGTCCCCTCCCGCCTCCCCTCGCCCGGCATCGGTCGACGCCAGCGCCACTGGCGGCTCTTCTGGAACTACCAATGTGCCGTCTTTCCGCGGCCGTCTTTTAGCCCGCAACCGGCCGGAGAGCCTACACCGTATTAACTACATCGTGTCCGTAACGCAAAGGTCAGTGGGGCAGTGTGTAACAAATTTTGGAATTTGGCCGTAAAAGGCAAACTATGTTAAACAATACATCCGAATATATGTTAAAATTTTGCGCACTCATGTATGACCTAGAGCTTGTTAAACATAGGTCTGTATTTGTTACACACCGCCTTGCCCAATCCAAGTCAATGTGCACTTGCAAAAACAGTTTTCTCCTGATTACATTCTGCATGTTGTAATTTCATTTTTATTTAAAACCAAGGAAAATGTTTCTCCTCTCTAACAACCGTTTTCCTGTTAACAGGTGACCATGCTTACGAAAATTTACCACCCCAACATATCTAGCTCCGGCTACATATGTAATAGCATTTTAAAGAGAAAGGAAGACGATGGACAGTGGGTATCTGGGACCACCCTCCCTATGCTGATGATTGCTCTGCAGAGCCTGCTCTCAGACACCAATCCAGGTAAGGGGAATAAAAATATTTTGTGGAGAACTAGGGTAGCTCAAAATAAACAACGTAGAATGTTCTATGGGCAGCCTGAGAAATGTTTTCTAGCTCTATGGGAAGTAGAAAAATACGTTGTGCATGGAGCTCTCTGAAAGCCTACTGTAAAACTTTAAGGTGGGAAAAACCCATTGAACCTGAGAATTTAGCGTGTTATTCAGCCACGGACTGGCCCGGGTTGGCTAGGTTGGAAAACCCGACCGGGCCCCAGGCCAAAAAGGTATCTTTTGGGGCCCCTTGGAGGCAAAAGGTATCTTTTAGGGCCCTTTGACAAAAAATGTTTATCATGATTAGAAAAACAACTTTTACTTGACACATTTTCCTGTACGAATCTCAGTTGTCGGCGTACGGCCGAAATAAGGCATCCCTAACGCTGTCTGCGAATCTCTATACAAGTTTTGGCCTGCGCACACCAGCACAATGGCCGACTTAGAGCACAAAATGATGGCGCTACTCGCGCCAAGCCAATGTTCACAATGTCCTGGACGAAGATGTGGACAACGCTGGTCGGGGAAGGCTGGACAATCGACGAGGTCGTGAACACTTCCCTCCAGCTCGAGGATAAACACCTCACCAATGAAGTAGTAGTGTTTGACGCCGATTTACAGCTAAATGTTACGGCCATCCAGCTGACAGCAGATGGTTTAGGGGAGCTCTTTGGCTGAGCGATCAGCGAAGCCTATTACTCCAGTGATGATCAAAAAGTTTCTCGACTGTCTGTGTGTCTGTTTGTCTGTCGTCACGATAACTCGAGAACGAATTGAGCTTGCGACCTGGGATTTTCAGGGTCGTTTTGTGTCATAAAAAGACAGATCGAGTTCGAAGATGAGCATTCTAGCTCAAAAATTGGATTTAAAAAAAAATCAAAAACAACAGGTCCTAAAAATGACGTTTTTTAAAAATATTTTTTTACAGTTTTCTAAGGGGTAACTCATCAAAGTAGAGCCCGTTCGGCTTTATCTTCAACCATTTAGGCGCCACAGGGTGTTTTTGACGAAAATAAGCGAAAAAATGTACAACCCTGCATTCTTAGTCGAAGTGACGGGAAGTTGACGGGCCGAAGGCCCGTATCTTAGTATACATTATTGCCCTACCCGACTCGGGTGTCAGCGCCGCAGGCCTAGGTAGATGTATGCCAGGCGCGTCGCAGCGTAACAGTGTTTCGTGAGATATCGCGAAGCCTGTTACGCGAGACGTGGTCTGGCGTACAT